TTTAAGCTTTGGTTCTTGAACATCGCAGCGCAGTCAAAGACGACTCGGATCTTGTTGGGTTTCTTCGGGTGGTACACCCCATGGTGAGGGATATACCACACGCGTCCGTTGTCCTTCGCTGGTTTGGCCTTCTCTGCGTAGCCATTGTCGATTATCTTTAACATGAATTTCATATAGTCGTCTTGATACAAGGGTCGGCGTTTGAACCGTTGCTTGAGGTACCTTAAACGGTGAAGTGCTAAAATTCGATTGCTTGGCAGTTGAACGTTGCTGTCCTTTAACGGTAGGGGAAACTCGTAGTGACCATCGTCGCACTGATGGATTCCATCCTCAGCAATCTGTAAGAACTTCCTATCTTCCTTCGATGTGGCTTGCAGTGATGTTTTCTCGTGTTCAACGAAATCTAACTCAAACATCTTGTTGATCATTGATGGTTGTATAACCTCTTTGCTTTGGCTCTGGAGAACAATGCTTACAGTACCTCCAGTCTCTGGAAGTACTTCGTGTGCAGAGATTGAGTGGCACATTGACGTCTTGCTGTCCAAGGCCGCAGGTGCACTAACTGGTCCGACTACGCACCAACCCAGCAATGTCCGTACAGCGTAGGGATCATCGGTCTTACCAGTTATCACTTCTCTTGGCTTGATTGCCTTAGGACAGTTGCAGCCAATTAGTAAGCCAATGTGGAGAGTTTCGTCGAGCTTTGGTATCTTGTCCTTTATTCGCTTTAGGTGTGGCCATTTGCTAGCGGTTTCAGGTGTCGGTATCTGGTCATTCCTGGAGGGTATACGGTCTCTGGTGTACGCTTTAGGAAGCTCAACTTTAGCACCCTTATCGAACCTTTCTGCTACGAGACCATCAATCCTTGACACTTTGATCAGCTCACGCCCCAGCATCGTGCTAAGAATTAGGTTGGTTTCAACTCCTGTGATTTCTAGTTCCTGTTGTACTCTTGTTGATACGAACGTAGTRTCGCTAGCGTCGTCTAGAAGAGCATAGACCTTCAGTTGTTTCTCAGAGTTGTCTTTGTGGTACAGAATGATAGGGATGATCTTTGAGTTTGTYACAGCGGCTTGTGCTTGGGGGTCGTCGTGGCTTGAGCTTGATGAAACRTTCACATTTGCGGACTCTGCTGAAGGGGAGTTGTTGTTTGCTCCTTSCGTTTTCGCTTCCCTTTGACGGAATGGCTGGGTTCTAGTCTTAGGTTTAGCTCCGTGTAGTGCGGTGTGGTGGTTTTTTCCGCAATCACTGCAGCTTTGCTTCGATTGGCACTTGGATGACATGTGACCATACCTGAAGCATTTAAAGCATAGCTTGTTTGAGCGAATGAACTCACTTCTTTCTTCTACTGACTTCTTCAGAAAGTTCACGCACTTTGCTAGACTATGCTTGCCGTTGCATGCTGGGCAGGATCGATCACTTGACGCGGCCTGATGCATGCTAGGACTTGGGGCTTGTTCTTCCGCGTGAGCTGTTGTGGCGAAGGTGTATCCCGAGGAGGGCTTACTGTGGATTCTGGTTGTGCTKTCGTTCTTACTGCGAGGTCTTGTACTGGCTGCCTTCTTGCGTTCTCTCATCAAGGCTTCAGGTGAGAATACAGGATCATTTGCTAACTCAGCCTCTTGTTGGACAAACTGTACGAAGTCGTGGAATGATGCCGTTTTTCCTGACTTGACCTGGTAATCAWAGGCATGACGACACCACTTCACTCCACAATAAGATGGCAACTTGGCGGAGATTTGCAACAAGATTTGAGTGGAATCTAGCTCTGACATCGACTTCATAATCTTCATGGCTGTTTCGCATTTGACGAGAAARTCAGAAAACTCGAGAATGGCTCCGCTATCTCCATCGTGTATCTGTGGCCAACTTCTTAGACTTGATTTGTAGGCCTCAGCTACGTGTACGGGGTTACCRTAGCGACTGTCTAGTAACTTTCGCGCGTCTTGGTACGCTTTCTCTGAGCTCGTTGCTAGGAAACCCTTTACCACAGCGTTGGCCTTTCCCGATGTGTACTTGTCGAGAAAGTAGATACGATCGCGGTCAGATAAGACGTTGTTGGCGATGATTGTGTCAAATGCGGTTACGAAGGCCGGGTACTCAAAAGGATCACCCGAGAATGTTGGCGGCTCTTTGACTGGCAGATTAGTAGCCCTTTGTTGGCTAATAATCAGTGAACTGAGCTCGGTTTGCTTAGCTTGTAAATTTACTATTTCTCGTAAGGTCGCGTTCATGTCTAAATTGCCAGAAAGCGAAGCGCTTGAATTTAATTGCAATTTTGTTTCAAGCTGCCKTTTGAGTTCGTCTGGATTTGGTTTTATATCCGTCTTATCGTTTGAAGCTTCCCGTTCATCTAGCTTATTGGTTTTTTCGATGGTTTTGTCTAATACGCCACTTAAAGCCTTTTCTTCTGCTTTGGCTATGGCGATCTCCTTTTCTAATCGTACGCGGTTAAGTTCACTTTCTTGTTCAAGAAAACTCATCTCGACCCTTAATTTAGCTGTTTTAGCTGCYGCATCGGCTCTTGCTAGAAGGACAGACATAACGGACGATCTACGCGAGCTCGCCCTTGACGAGGAAGACTTAGACGAAACTGAACTCGATTTTTCCGACCTTGTGCGATACGAAGCTCTATCGAAAGCTTGAATTTCTTCACAAATTCTAAGTCTACATTCGTTGTATTCCCTGTCCTTTAGGTCAAACCACCGATACGATTCTTCCCTTTCAACTTCCGTTGTTAAAAGTTCGTCGTATTCACGTTGGGCATTGTTCAGATTATCCTTCAACAAGTCTAGTTTGTTTCGTTCTGACTCTAACAGGTCGAGATCGCTTTCGGGTTGGTTATAAATTTCTTTAATACGTTCGATTGCTCCCTTTAGTTTTTTGAAAGCCAATTCGCGGTTTCTAAACTTTACATCCTTATAAAACAATCGTCCTCTTTCGGTCATCTTTTGTTTGCGGCGAGAGGCTTCATTTCTGACGTTCCAATCTACCACAGACAAAGCTGGAGCACGTGTCGCGTCCGGAAAGATATTATCGGTTTCCCGGTGACTATGGAATGCGA